GATAGATAGATAGATAGATAGATATCAATTGATATAGATTGATAGACATAGATATAGATAGATATAAGAGGTGTGTATGTGTGAGAATTCATATAGGAAAAGGTAGAAGTCCCAGGCAAACAAGCCAGTGGGTGAGAGGTGCAGGCGAGCATCATAGGCAGGCACTGTGGAATACAGGGCAGGTGGGTAAGCGAAAAGGCGGTGGGTGCAATTTGAACCCATCTGCCAGCTTCCGCATTAACTTTGATTGTGGGAAGCTGGCAGGGAACATTGGGAATTGCAATCATATCACATGGTACACTGCAACCATCATAAAATACAAGCTGGTTACCAAGCAACCAAATTGACCATGTGATTGCAGGAATGCTGGAATGGATGCAACTTTGAGGACCAGTCATGAGGCTCCCTCGTTCAGTAGTGTCATAATTGCTGAAGGGGTAGTTGTAACCTGAAGACTACCTGTGTGGGCTTGTACTCATGTTTGATCAGACACACTGAGTCTTCCTCTAATAATGCTCTAGGAATTTATTCTGGCACTTCATACTGTATTTTTTCTGTTGTGTCTATTAGATTGTAAATCTACAGCCTAGATTTTTTTTTTATCTTTTGGAAAAAATGTTAGCTGCTTTACTGATGGTACCTACTGATATCTAAGATCAGAAGTGGACTACATAATCCATTCTCCATGTTATGTCTGAAGCTAGGCTATTATGGTTAGGTCTGCTGTGTAATATAATAGAAATCAAAAACAAACCATATTGGGGCTATATATTACTTGCTCCATTGAGTGGCAGGATTTTATTGCTCAAGTTTATTTTATTGCTCAATTCAATTTTGAGTTTGTCAACAAACTTCAAATGTTGGTAATTTTCTGACTAGAGATGAAGATTATCTTGACTTGTTGCAACATCTTGACATAGCAATTTAATTTCTGATTTAGGATTTCCAAGCTGTAAGCATAAATGAGGAAACCTATTTTAAGAGGCAAAATCACAATTAAAATGTGCAACAAGTATAAACTTGTCTATACATTTGTTTGTTTAAACACTGTCAGTTCATACTCAGTCTTTTAACTGAACTCACTATTAAAGAATGCCTCTCATTAATTTCCATCTCAGGATGCTGTTTGCTGTTTAATCAGGCCTAGGTTTTATACTCCTCCTTCAAACATGGATAACTACTATGTCTTTTTCCTATTTATTCTGATTCTATATTGGTGCAGCAGAGTTATATGCCCTAATTAATTATATTAACTCTCTGAATCTCATATTGCTGCTATTTTTCCATTAGATATAAAAATTAAATCTGCTTATTAAAAATAGTGGGGAATCTTTCAAAGTCGTCCTTAGGCAAAATGAAACCTAAATTAACATTTGATTTTCTCCCATTTTATACTTCCCCATTCTTTTTCCTTATTTTGTTTGATGACTCTTGATAATTGTCACATCATGTTACTTTGCAAAACAGTCATAATCCTAGGCAATTATATCTATAATAAATCATTTTATTTTATTTTGAAATACAAATGTTTGTTGATTGAAATGAAGATATTTGAATTTATTGCATACACCAATCTACTCTGAAGCATCTACTGTATTATATTCTGTATATCTTAAGTGGTCACATGCTTCAGTATAACTTCTTGTTTAGTCCTGAGAATTAGTTTGTATATCTATATGGGCAGTTCCAAATGTAACTTATCAGGTTATGAATTTGATATTTATTTTTTTCTATAGAAATGAAATATATATATTTGGGACAACCACAATTGAAAAGCGTTCTTATTAGTGAGAATCACAGATCTTAAATTCTGTTTTCTCTAAACAAAACAATTTAATTGCATTTAATAAGCAGCACTATCTAGCACAGAGATCTCCAACCTTTTGGGCCCCAGGGACTGGTTCCGTGGAGAGAGGTTTTTCTGCGGACCAGAGGGGGCGTGGTTTTGTGTACTGCCTGCATCCCGTAGGATGGGGCTTTGTTTATTTATGCAGCCAGGTTGCTGGCATGCCGCAGCCCGGTACTGTTCCACAGACCGGGGATTGGGGACCCCTGATCTAGTACATTTTACCAATGTAGTTGTAATCCAGTGTATTGGATTTCTAGAATATTGTCAGGGCAACTTTCAGAGTTAGTGTTAGGAATAAATTCCATGTAATTGATAATTTGATTTAATATTGATATAGTTTTAGAAATTTAAAATACCAATGTTTACTTTGTTACTTCTTACCTTCCCAAAGTTTTTCCTGATGTGTTGTAATGTAAATTGAAAATTACTGTACAGTACTTCTCCCAGATAATTATATCGATTATAAAAAACAAAAACTGAAGCTGCAAGAAATAACTTTTACTTACTCAACTTCAAATTATTTCTCAGATCATGCAAAGAGTTGAAGGTGACTGATATACATAATGAACTTTGGACTTGGTGACTAAAGCAATACAAAATTTTGGCATTGATTGCTTATGTTGGCTTGCATTTGTGCTATATATCCCACATTTGGTGAGAGAGCAAAAACTTGAACGTTGCAACAAAATGTTAAAAACTTTTGTAAAACCTTTGGCATAGGTTTTTGAAGAATGTAGCAGCATTAGTGTTTTGAGGTATTTCTTCTGGTCCCCACACTGAAATGCCTATGCTACCTTTATTTTGAGGTACAAACTTCAAACTAAATATTACAAAACAGAAATAAAATAGGCTTTGACTGAAAATCACATTTGGAGGTTCATGACTCTGAAATATCATCCTGGATATTACAAAGAGGTGTTGCATATAAATCCCAAAGTTAATTTCCAGTCAAACCTGTTCCATTGTTTTGAACTAGTTTTGCATCAAGCCTAAATTTAATACCTCCCCCAAGTAAAGATGACACAGACATTTTAAGTTTTCGTAATGCTAGTTGATACTTCCCATTTTCAGCTTTTTTTCTAATGCCATCGGATCAGACTTTCAGTTTCAATTTGAAAATAATTCACAAATTAAACCTTCTGGTAATATAAACATTTATAAATATATCATAATCTTTCCAAAATAGCAAAACTATTTTGGTTTTAACAGTTTGAGTTAGCCTAAGCTAACTCATATTAATATAAGTCATGAATGGACAGTTTCCAAACTGCATTTGGCCTAGGTAGCACCTTAAATCATACCATTAAAATTATTTTTTGTATTTTTTTTTTTTTTTTTTATTACAAAATAGCATGGAAATAAGAGCAGCAGACATTGAGGAGAAAAAAATGACCTGGCTTCCACATTTAATCTTTCCCAGCCCCTCAAACAATCCAGAATCTCACAATTTGGCCTTGAGATATATGTAGCAGATGAATTCTTTTTCCTCTAGTAAATATAACCATTTATATTTTTACATGTATTCAGTAATTTTATCAATGCTTGCAAATCGGCATGAACATAATTTTTTTTTTAAAAAAATTAATAGTATTGTGCACTGGAGCTGGGTTCAGTCAGTGTAAATTATATTATGCTTTTTCAATTCCAATGGCTATTTGTGATAGTTAATTTCTGCTACATGGTAAAAGAATATGTTGATGAAATGTATGGGGAATTCTTAAGAGGCATTTTTAGCCCAGAAAAAAAAATCAGTTCTGAAAAAAGGAAAAATTAGACGATAATATAAACATCAGTTAAAATTACTTGTTCACTTTTCATTCCCTCCTCCCTACTCTACATTTTGTTTTGAAAATATAATGCAGTTTAAAATAAGAATACTTACAATGGAATGTCATAGGGAGGGGGTTCATTCCAGAGGAGCAAGGGACAACTCTGTCCCGATATTTCATGTGAGAGAAAAGGGTGAGGACAGTCCCTCTCTTCAGAGTATATTACAGATGCAAATAGTAGAATCCTCAGTCTTGCAAGATTTTGTCAATAGGTGTTAAACAAGAAACTCAACTTGAAAGAATCCCTACGTGTCATTCTCTGTTTGGGGCCTGAAAACATGGTGGCATAATATTAAAATGGAGCATGGCACTGTAACATTAATGCTTCATGTTTAATGTATAACCAATCAGTATTTAAACAAAAAAGAATCGGATATCAGAGACTCACACCCCTCCCCAGTATTTCATCATCATCATCATCATCATCATCATCATCATCATCATCATCATTTCTTCTTATTCTTCTCCTCCTCCTCCTCCTCCTCCTTCATATTGCTAGTGCTAAAACTAAGGTTAAAATCATGTCGGATATTGGGTGTCATTCAGAAGAATTGAATTGAACTTTATTTGGCCAACTGTGATTCAGCATACAAAGAAATTGTCTCTGGTACAGAAGCACTCAGTGTACATGAAAAGCAACAGAATAATAATAATCATAATATAATAATACCAGTAAAAAGGAGAAGTAAAGAAGATAAGGATAAATAATAATATTACAATCACACTAAAAAGCTAAAGGTTTCCCTGTCAGTTATGTCCAAATATAGGGCACGGTGCTCATCTCCATTCATAACTAATTACATGTACTGTATACATAGTATTTAGAAATATATTCTACATACATGTACTGTATTGTCCTGAAAACCTTAAACTAGCTTTTGGAACTACTTTTTTCTTTTTTGGGGGGGACACTATAGTACAAGTATTACATGTAATTTCTTACAAAGTTGAAGCTGCAGTGTCTTGGTACCTAAAGTAATACAAGTAGGTAAATATAATCAGATGCTTTTTATTTTTTATTTTATTTTCCTAGCTTATATGATGTCCTAATTACAACTGATTGTCAGAAGCTTATAAATCTGAGTGCACTATTGGGATTAAAAACATGAATAACAAAAAAGTAACTACAATGAAATGCACAAAGAAGCAGCCCAAATACAGTCCTCCTGCAGCAGGGAACAAATTCAAAATAATATTTTCTATAAAGTTCTTTGATGGAATATTTATGTTTATACTTCTCAGATATATTGTATTTGTGTGTGTTCTTTTGTGAATATTTTCATGCTGCTTTGTTGATTTACTTGTTTGATTTTACTTTATAGGGATAGATTTCAAGATAAAAACAGTTGAATTGCAAGGAAAGAAGATAAAGCTACAGATATGGTAAGTGACTAATCAAATTTTTTTGACATTCAAAAATACTTCCTGTGATTTTTATTAGCTATTTTTATTTATTTATTAGATTTGTGTGTGCTGCCCATCTTTTCTAGAGGCAATAATTTTAGGACCAAAGCAGATACAGAAGGCACATTTAATATGTTTCTCCTTTTAGTCTTGAGAATGGCCTTATCTCAGAATCTCTTTGGATGGAAAGCTCCGTTCTCTAGATCAGGCATGTCAAACTGCCAGCCCACGGGCCGGATGCATCACACTGAAACCGCACCCACCCCACTGCCGGCAATGGGGAAAAAGTTCCGATACGCTGCACGATGTCAAGTGACGTCGTGAGTTCGACATGCTTGCTCTAGGTCAGTGGTTCTCAACCTGTGGGTCGGGACCCCATTTGGGGTCGATCGACCATTTCACGGGGGTCGCCAAGCAAGGCTGTCCGCCATTTTTTTTGTCCGCCATTTTTTTGTCCGCCATTTTTCCCCCTTTTCCGATGGGTGCCTTACCTCCCTTGGGCTGGGCCAGCTGGTGGTTGGCCTGCTCCATCTCTGCCGCTTGCCAGCTACGCCTCAGCCGGCGCAGGGGGCGGAACCACGCATGCGCGGCGCTCCCGGGCAGGGAAAGTCCTCGACTTACGACCGGTTGGGTAGTCCTCGACTTACGACCGGTTTAGTCCCCGACTTACGACTGGTTTAGTCCTCAACTTATGACCGGTTGGGGTCACGGCATTAAAAAGGTTGAGAACCACTGCTCTAGATGAACAATTCCAAGAAATGGGTGAAAAGCTTCATACTTTGCAATGAACTATGGTGTGGTTCGTTGGTGTCAGCTTAACATGTTTTCATTGTAGTAGTTGTAAATGCTGGTAGTTAATGGCTTAGAATGTTGCATGAATTCAGCTAATGAGCCATTAAACAATTGCTTAGAGCAGGGGTGTCCAAACTTTTTTCAAAGAGGGCCAGATTGGATGAAGTGAACGTGCTGGAGGGCCGAAAATTTTCCCGAACATTCTTTGAACCATTACAATTAAATGCAAATGAATTATTTTATGCCTCTTTCCTCTCCCTCTCTTTCCTCTTTCTCTCTCTCTCTCTTTCCTTTCCCTTTCCTCTCCCCCCTCTCTCTCTTTCTCTTTCCTCTCCCCCTCTTTCTCTTTCCTCTCTCTCTTTCTCTTTCCTCTTTCTCTCTCTTTCCTCTAACTTTCTCTTTCCTCTCTTTCTCCTTTCTTTCCTCTTTTCTTCTCTTTCCTCTTTCCTTGCTTTCTCTTTCCTTTCTCTCTTTCCTCTCTCTTTCCTTCATTTCTCTTTCCTCTTTCTCTTCTCTTTCCTCTTTCTTTCATCTCTCTTTTCTCAATCTTTTTTCTTTCCTCTTTTTCTCTTTCCTCTCCCCCTCGCTTTCTTTCTCTCTTTCCTTTCTCTTTCCTCTCCTTTCTCTCCCTTTCCTCTTTTCCTCTTTCCTCTTTCTTTCCTTTCTCTCTTTCCTCTCTTTCTCTTCTTTCTTTCCTCCCTTTCCTCTCTTCTCTTTCTCTT